GATTAATGGGTGACTCCATACAAATTCTAAGGTTCACTTTTACCTTTAATTAAACATTTAACTTATTTTTCATTTGCATTACATAATTAGGAAATTATATTCTACTGAAGAAATCTGGATCATATAAAGCTTCCCTCTTATTTTGGTTTTTATTAAAATACATTATTTAGTTATTTGAATTATATAGGGCCACGTTTTGGTTTGGTTTGGTAAGTGGGGCATGCATGTCCGTGTGTGTGTGTGTGTTAGAGACAGACATACAAACAAGGAGCTTATGTGCACACACACACACACACACACCCTTGCTTTTGCCGAAGTTTAGAAGGTAGAAATAAAAAATAAACATGAACAAATGTTAACCCTCACTAGTCATCATTGTGTTTCAAACTAGCAAACTAGTTTTAAAATAATGAGAACATTCAATGTATGTAAGATTATAGTGATGTTAACAGTATATTGTTGCAACATAAATAGATAAAATATTTTTAGAAAGCAATTTTGTAATAGGTCTCAAGAATTATTATAGAAGATCATAGACTATGATCTAGTCATATTGTTATTTGAAATTTATATTCTTTCCATGTAAAAGAAGAAATAAGTCCCCAAAATATGATGTTTTAGCATCATTTTTAAGAGCAAAAAAATTGGCTATAACCAGTCTAATTATAGAGAAACAATAAAATCAGAGCATTAATGTTATGCAGCTGTTAAAAACTGATTATAAACACATACCAATGTAGAAAATATTGATAATATTTTAAATGTAAAAAAGGCCAGTTTTGTGGATAGAGACATGAAGAAGCATACATAAGCATGCATGTTGGCTAGAATGGTTCTAAAAAACATGCCAGCCTTGTTATATTATGATTTTTTGTACAAAAACTAAGAAAATTCAGGAATTTTTGCATGTTTTGGAAAGATAGGGTATCCAGTGGGGTGGCTGAAGTTCCTTCTGTTACAGATATTCTATGCTCCTGGTTGGCAGCCTGTGTGGAGTCTAGGAAACTACTTGCTGAATGTATTAATTGTGATATTAGGTCCCAGCAAAGGGACCAACTAGAGAGAGGGGTGCTCTGGTACTCTAAGCCAGCATGAACACTTTCTGTGTTGTCCCAGGAGACATAGTAAAATGGAGTTTAAGGGCTCAGGGTATAGCACAGTGGTAAAGAACTAGATTAGTATGCACGAAGCTCTGGGTTTGATCCCTAGCACCACCAAAAAAAAAAAAAAAAAAGTACAATTTAAGATAAGTGATTTTTCAGTTAGAAAACTGATTAAAACTCTATAACTGAAGCCCTGTTGTGAAAGTTGGAAGGACGTTTTAAAGCTTTGTCCTGTCTTGGTAAGGGAATTTTTGGGTGAGAGTAAAGTCATCTCTCAGTATACTTGAGGGATTGGTACTAGGACCCCCATGGATTCTAAAATCCATGGATACTCAAGTTTCTTATATAAAATGATACAATCTTTGTGTGTAACAAATGCATATCCTCCTGTAGATTTTAAATCATCTTTAGATTATTTATAATACATAGTCCAATGTAAATGCTAAGAAAACAATTCTTATACTGTATTTACTTACGTGGTATTACTTATGGAATAAAAACAGAAATATATATGTACAGTATAGACACAATTAAAAAAAATATATTTTTGGTCTGTGGTTTCTTGAATGCATAGGAGCAGAGAGGCCTGACTCTGTGTGTGTGTGTGTATGTGTGTAAATTTTCTTATGTGAATATCTCAGAATTTAAATACCCCTGATTATTGGAATGTTCAGGGTGTTTTTCAACTTTTTTTTTTGTGGTTATAGATTCTGTCACAGTTGCCATCTTTTGACTTTAATCTTTATTTGCAGTTGTTACCTACTTTGGATACCAATTGCTAGTACTCCATTGCTTCCTTCACTGCTCAGTTGGAGGCTGGGGAGGAGTGGCAGGGATAATTTTCACAGAGGCTTCTATGAAGAAGAGAAGCCACTAGAGAACTACATAGAAGAGATAGTGACATGGTTGAAGAGGCAAAGCAGGGGATTTGGGGGCCTTGGGACAGCAGGCTCTGTGAATCAGTTCTTAGCAGCTGTTGTGACAAAGGATATTCAAAGGGACCTAAAGGATCCGTCAGAGGACTGGGGCTTTGGACCTCAGATTTGTGTCATGCACCATGGTTTGAGCGTGTGGCTCCTGCGTAGGTTGGTTAGTTATAACCACATTTCTGTGTAATGCGTGGTTCTCCTGCAGCTGATCTATCCCCCACCTCCCACATTCTTGATGAGCTCTGTGACTCAGCTGCTTCTCAGGACATCTGAGCAGCTTTCCCCACCCTGGGGATAGATCCACCGTCAGGAGATGTTGTAACGGGAATTCTTTATTCTTTTTTTGGGGGGTCCATGAGAGTTTCCCCTACCATGTGGATCCATGCAATTGGGAATTCCCCTCAACACAAGTAGACTTTTAGAGGATGTAGAAAGAATGCCTTTTCCAAACTTCTGGTTTAAGAAAAGACAGGCATTTGTTACTCCTGTAGGCTGAAAAGGGAAGTTTGAATTCCAGCCTCAAGTTGGACACTGTATTTCCTCACAGGGCTCAAAGACAGCTTTATTCTTCCACTGTAGTTTGTGTGATTTTTCTTAGAGATGTCAGAGGAGTAGCAAGAATTCTGTAGCCCCTGCAAATTCTGTCTCTGGGACTGGTTTGGTATCAGGTAATTGGCCTGGTTTTCATGGTGGAGGGCTAGTGATCTCCCTCCCTATATGTGCCGCTAATGTAGGTGGTGGTACTTTGTGCAGGGGTATCCCCTCCCCCACTCTTGCCCTCTACTTCTGCTATGCTGCTTCCTCCTCCTCAGCTGTTTTTTTTTTTTTTTATTTTTTTTTAGTTGTAAATGGACACACAATATCTTTATTTATTTTTATGTGGTGCTAAGGATGAAACCCAGTGCCTCACACATGCAAGGCAAGAGCTTTACCACTGAGCTATAGCCCCAGTCCCTCAGCTCCTCTTCCCACTTTTTATCCTTTTCTCACCTCTTCTTTTACTTCTCCTTCTACTCCCTTCTTGGCTGCATTATTGCATCTTTGCCCTGTTTCTTTGGGCTTTACTCTTTTGCTCCTCCCATTCTCTTTCCTCCCCAGTGAGTAGCCCTGGGATCTCCTGATGCCTCTGCTTGACAGCTGCATCTTCTGTTCCTCTTGGGATTCTGACCTGAGCTTACCTGACCACTGTTCACTGGGGTGTGTATTTGTGTGTGTATGTGAGTTTCTCTTGGGGCAACTTCTTAACATTGCAGGGCCCTTACAGAGGTGGCAGAGAATAGACCATAGCACTAGTTACCACCTTTAGCTTGAAATCATGAGAATGTGTCTCCCTACTCTGGGGGACTGCCCTGCTGTGGGTCTGGAAGACTAGGGCTGTCATATCTAGAACTTGCTTCCTGACCCAGTGTCATGTCATGGAGGATAGCCTTTGCCAGCTATCTTACACCTTTGCTGGACCTTGATGAGCCATTATGGAATTTGCTCTGTTGGAGTCAGTTAGGGTTTGTTGGGTGTTACTTGTTTTTGAAAATCTGAATGTCATGTGGTGCTCTGTAGCCCTATGGGGCCCCTGTCCTGTTCTATACAGTGTGTGCATTCAGATGGGGTGTCTCTAGTTGTTGCAAGGTGCTCCTTCTTGCTGGGGAGGACAACAGAACTTCTGCCCTTTCCTTTTGCCCTTCAGAAAGGCCCATGGAAATTCTAGAGAAAAGAGAGAGAGGTTTGATGGTTGGCTCATCTCACATTACCAGAGATGGTATTCTGGAATCAGTGAAAGTACTCAGGGCTTGGGACTTTGTTCTGATTCATCATTGTTTCAATAAGTAACAGCTGGGCAGCTGCATGAGTCTGCTCAGGTGACTGTAACAAAGTGCTATAGACTGAGTGGCTTCAACAACAGAAATTTATTTTCTCACAGTTCTGGAGGCTGAAAGTCCATGTAATTGTGATAATAGGTTGGTTTCTTCTGAGGCCAGAGGGGAAGGATTTTTCCAGCCTCTGTCCTTGGCTTGTAGATGGCCATCTTTTCTCTGCATCTCATGTAGTCTTCCCTCTGTATCCAGATTTTCTCTTCTTGTAAGGATCCATCATAATGGACTAGGACCTACCCTATGACCTTGTGTTAATTTAATGACCACTTTAAAAACTTTGTGTCCAAATATAGTCATATTGTGAGGTCCTGGGGTTAGGACTTCAAATAAATTTTGGGAGAATACAGTTTAGCTCATAACCTTAAAGTAAGGTAAGTGCTACCAGGCTAGGGCTGAGGGATATGAACTTGCCACAAGGCTCCAGAAACTCTTCCATGTTTAATCCTGAGGTGCCTTCATGGAGTGGGAGGGGCTGCTGTTCTGAATAAATTCCTGGCAGAATTTTATCCATGATTTGAATTGGAGTTTAAGTTCTTTCTGAGATAGTTTCTTCATGTATAAATGAATTATGCGCCACTGACTTCATAAGGCGTTTGTGCAGAGTTATAATAATAGCTGCTATTATGAAGTGCTTACCGTGTCCCTAAGCACTTAACTTGCAGTCAAAATCTTATGTACATGCCTAGTACGTGCAAGGCCTTGGGTTCAATCCCCAGCACTACCAAAGAAAAAAAAATGTGGCATCACAATTAATAAGTGTCCAGAACTGGAATTTGAACCTGGCCCCAGATCTATAGTCTAAGCTTGTATCCTTCTGTATATGTAAAGTGCCTGATGCTGACTATGCTTGGCAAAGTTAGTTGCCTTGGGAAAGTTAGTTGAATACATGTTAGTGGATTCTGATAACTCTTCATTGAGTTGGTAGAAGTTTCCACTGGGGTCTGGTTAGGGTGGGACACTTTGTAACCTAGGGAAGGAAGGTGATGAACGGGTGTCCCAACCCAGCCTCTTGCAGAAGTGAGTCAAGCCAGGGAGAGGTGAGGTTCCCACAGGTCCTGCTTCACCCTCCTCACCAGCACCTCCCTCCTGCCATGCAGGGTGATGTGAGCAGAGCCCAGGAATGCCTTATGTGGATCGGCAGAACCGAATCTGTGGGTTTCTGGACATCGAGGAGAATGAGAACAGCGGCAAGTTCCTGCGGAGGTACTTTATTCTGGACACCCAGGCCAACTGCCTTCTATGGTACATGGACAACCCCCAGGTGAGAGGCTAAGTGGAAAAGGGGCAGGGCAGCTGGCTGCCCATCACTGCCTGGGAGGAATGCAAGTGGGATTAGAACTTCATCTCATGGCAACACAAACCTTCTGGTCAGTAAGAAGGGAGAAGCCTTCTGCCACACAGGCACACAACATACATACACAGACAGACAGGCACACACACACACACACACACAAATTCAGGGCTGGGGTTGTAGCTGAGTGGTAGAGCATGTTGTTGGCAGTCTTGGGTTCAGTCGCTAACATTAAAAAAACCCAAAACAAACAAAACCCTCTCAGATCTTAGCCTGAGGAGAAAAAAGCTCTGCTGAACCTAGAACTGTTGCCTTTTCTCATGCACCAAGAATTTAACACTTGCAAAAGTCAGGCAGAGGCCGGCCAGGCTGGCTCCAGGCTCCCAGGACTGCCGTGTTTCCTCTTACCCTTTTGTAAGGGATGTGGCTTGGTGGCTACTCCTGCTCTTCCAGTCTGGGGCCCCTCCCTAGCAGAGAATGTGACCTGGTTCTCTGAGGTGGACAAATGTTGGGCTTTAATGGTCTCCTGAATCAGGAAGTTCATAGAGTCCTGGGTTGGAAGTGACCTTGGAGTTCACCTATTTTGCTTCCTCACACTACAGATGAGAACACTGAGTCGCAGGCTTTGTAATTGATCTAGGAAAGGACACAGTCAGTGTCCTTAGCATTTTGTGACAGGCACAAAGATGGGGGCCACTTAATTTTTATTGCAATACCTGCAGTCATCACTGATTTAGGAAAAAATTGTACTTTGAGAACTTAAGTTTTTGTTTTTTTCTTTCTGGAGTGGAGTGCTACTAACTCTTTCCTTCCCACTGCCCTGGAGCAGTTTGGTGGAATGAGGCTGTGAGGACTTGACATGGCTTCTGAACAGCGAGATCATGGGTCATGGCTATGTGGGGAGGGAGGAGGATGTGGGGGTTGGGATTTGGCTCTGTTCAGAGGCTTAGAAAAAGGAAGATCTGAGTATTGGGGGATAGATTTTTGCTTTAAGATGTGATGTGGAAAAAGAGTCATGTGAATCTTTGTTAAGTCATTATCCAGGGTTCAGTCCTCTAGAGACCTTTGGCATTTGTCCTCTGGATTTGATAGCTGAGCAAAAGTGTTATAGATACAGAAACCATATGCAGAAAGCTGCTGTGAATTGCCGTTTCCAGGAAGACTTAAAGCTGTGCTCCACATTTCACCCCACATCTCTGAAAACCCTGTCACTTACTTTTTTTTTTTATTTATTGATTTAATTTTTTGCAGTTCTTGAAGGTTGAACCCAGGGCCTTGCACATGCTAGGCAAGTGGTCTATCACTGAGCCCTACTCCAGCTTTATAACTTATTCTCACTTGAGCATTCAGTTTTGGGGGTTCACTTTGGGTCCTGCATATGAACGTTATTACACCCTCTGCTTGTCTTGTTATGTTTTGGTCCTGGTTTGCCTTCAGACGCTGCTACATCATTTTCCATCTTTACTCTGTGCAGGTCCCCACATCTGGGTCCACAGATTCATTGTAAAAGGAAATGCTAATGTACTCTTCCCGCTGGAGGGGTTTTGAATTAATTCTTTGTTGCCAATTGTCTGAGCTTCTGCCACACTAAGGTAGAGTCCTGGGGGACTTAGGATCCCTGGATCTTATTTCCTCTTTGCTTTCCCCACTTGATGTACCTTTTCCTACTCACTTGCCATGTTAGCCCATTTGAGGTTATTTGAAGGTTATTTTGAAAATCTTTTCATCTTGCCTTCTTCCTTACTAGCACTGTCCTGAACCCAAATGTACTTGCTGAGGTCATCCTGCCCAGCCGCTGCTTACTGCCTCTCCTTGAGAGTTAGATCTTCCTTCAGTCCCTGGGCCACAAGAGTCTAGCTGTCAGTAAGAGATTACCCAAGGACCATAATATCTCTATCTTGGATCTTGAATATTGCCAACTGTTAGGATTTTTCTCACTGTGACCTACCTTTTGATGTTACTGTTACTTGGGCCCAAAACCTGCACTGACCTTGGATATTGTGCCTCCCGGGCTCTGTGGGATCATCTTCTGCAGCAGTTCTCATGATGTTCAGGGCAGTCTGTTTCTCTTGCCTGCCAACTGAGTGCTCAGGATGCTTTTTATGTTAGAAACTTCTTTGAGTTTAAATTACCAAATAGAACTTGTGGCCCTATGCTGAGGATTCTTTTAGATTTTCCTAGCTGGGTTGGCATATGCCTAAAAAGAAATACATAGTGAAAATTTAGAACATTTTACTTCTTCTCTCGTCGGGTTAGTTGTTTTTGTTTATAGCCAAGTAAGTGCTCCAGATTTGAGAATGCATGTTTTGGTAAATTGTAAAATGGTATTAGCAAACATTTATTCCTTTATGACAAGCACATTCATTGGGTTTTCATTTCATTCTGACAGCAAGTCTCACAGGTAGATGTTGTCCTCATTCCAAAGTTAAGGAAGGTGAGGCAGAGAGGGGAAGAAGTTTGCCCATGGCTATATAATAAGAAAGTGGCAGAGTCAGGATTCTAAGCCTGAAGATGTGACTCCAGTGCCATTGCCATGATTGCTAATAATGAGACAGTCATTTGGAGTCCTCAGGAGAAAGAAAAGCCGTCAGTGGTAGTCTCTGATTAAGAAAGAGAAGCTGGAGGATCTCAGACCTAGAGGGCAGAGAGCTTGTCACGTTTAGCTTTTGATGCAGAGCATCCAGCTTTGATAAATGTATTCTCAGTAAATGAATGGATGAGCAAACTAAAGAGGGCCCGGGAAAGAGACTGTCAGAAGGCAGGTCCTTAGGAAGTATGGCATGGTATTACTGCCCTCCTGGATTAAAGACAGGGCCCAACTAGATGGAAGTTGTGCAGCATGGGGCACCCTGGGGATGTGGGGAGAGGTATTGAGAACTATGTTTGGTCTTTGAACATCTTTTATAGGGAAAAGGAGACCCTGATGTGGTTGGTATCTTCATCATTGGACAGGCATTAATAAGCAGAGATTCTCTGAACCCAGGTCTCTGATCTTTACCTGGTAATTGGTGTTCACTCCGTCTGTCTCTACAGCTGTTGACTCTTATTGCTGTTGATTATTAACTGCAGTTTACTTACTGAGTGGTTATCATATACCAGTCATTGTGTGAAATGCTTTGTATGTGTTATCTCATGAAATCCTCTTGATAATCTCAGGCCCTTGGGATAATTATCCCTCTTTGTTCACAGTCACATAGGTGGTTAAGTGCAGAGCCAGGGTTGGAGCCACATTTGTCACTTTCTTCCTTTTTATGATATTTGTGCTCAGTCCTGTAGATGATGTGGAAGGTGAATTCAAGGAGATCTTTGCCATTGGGAAGCTTCAGGTATAGTCGGGGAGATGAGAACAGAACACACAAAGCTATATATCTCTAATAATTGTAATGCATCATTGTAACAAGAGAGGGTATCATCTGTCGTTGATGCCAACACCCACATGCCAACATTTTATTTCTTTCAAGAGATAAGGTCTTGGGCTGAGGTTGTGGCTCAGTGGCAAAGCACTTGCCTAGCACATATGAGGTCCTGGGTTTGATCCTTAGCACCACGTAAAAATAAATAATCAAAGATATTGTGTCCATGTATAACTAAAAAAATATTTAAAAGAAAAAAAAGATAAGGTCTTGGGCTGGGATTGTAGCTCAGTGGTTGAGCGCTTGCCTTGCATGCGTGAGGTACTGGGTTTGATCCTCAGCACCATATTGAATGAATGAATGAATGAATAAATAACTAAATAAATAAATAAAACAAAGATATTATGTCTATCTACAACTAAAAAAATGTTTTGTTTTGTTTTGTTTTTAAAAAGAGATAAGGTCTTGCTGGGTTACCTGGGCTGGCCTTGAACTTCTGGGTTCCAGTGGTCTCCTGCCTCAGGAGTAGCTGTGATATAAGTGGCATCAAGATGTCAATATTTGATTCAGGAGCAAGAAATTTTCTTTTCTTTTGGGATTTTCTTTTGCTGCTGCCTGTGGGAGGAAGATGTAGGGCTGAAGGTGGAGCCTCACATGGAAATTTCTCAGGCTTGAGAGACAAGAGATCCAGGCTGTAGTCTTGGCTCCTCCACTCAGTTGATCTGTGTCTTAGGCAAGTCATTTCTCTTCCAGACTATACACAGTCTAGATAATCCTTAATATGACTTTTAACCCTTCATTTCCTGCAGGCCTGAGAGTCAGAGATCCTGGAGCTTAACAACATTACCTAACACATATTTACTAAACTTGTCTAATGTGTCAGATACCAGTCTAGATGCTGGGGCCACAGCAGTGTGCAAGTCAGTCTTTGGCTTCATGGAGCTTACATTGCAGGTCGGGAGGTAGATGATGAAGCACAATTGGGATAGGGAGAATTGTGGGTTACCCCTTCAAGGAGGAGGTGACACACTAGAGCCAGATCTTGAAGGATGGGTGAGATTAGAGTGATTATTACTTTATATGGTTCACATTTGTAGAGCATTTTGCAGGTTTTGAAATGTTTTCATGTACAGGGTCTCATTTGATTGCTGTCCCCACTGTGTCCTAAGCACAGAGGAGGAGGAAGAGGAGGGAAACAATAGTTGTTATGGGGGCAGAGGAGGGCACCTGGGTTTCCCTGGTTAGAGGGGTACTTAAGGTTGAGTTCCCCAGAAGAAGCCCCTGTTATGAGGTGTTTTAGTCAGCTTTTCTTGCTGCTATGACTAAAGGACCCGACCAGTACAACTGTAGAAGAGGAAGAGATTATATGTGGGCTCACGGTTTCAGAGGTCTCAATCTGTAGACAGCTGGTTCCATTCCTCAGGGCTCCAGATGAGACAGGAACAACATGGTGGAAGAGTGTGGCAGATGGAAGCACCTTGTGTGGTGATCAGGAAGCAGAGAGAAACTCCATTCTTCAGATACAAAGTATATACCCCAAGGCCTCAATTCCCACATCCTCCAGCCACACCCTTCCACCTCAATTCCCACTCAATTAATCTGATCAGGGATTTGTAC